TCGGTCATGGACCAGGTGTTGGGTATTGTTAAGTGTGATACGGTCAGATAGTAATGGGAATATTACGTAGAATATTTACATACATTACCAACGGGCAACGAATTTCAGCACAGTATAGCCACAAATGGCTTTTCTATCGAGAGAAGATAAAAACCTGTACACTGCTACTATTTGTAAGAGGTTTTGGGAAGTGCTTTACGAACTTATCCTCATATGAAATAGAATGAAAAATATATTCATTTTTATAATTTTACAATCAATACTTTGAGAGTAATAATAAAATGAAATACACATCAAATTCTTTTCGATTCACTTCATTTTACAGTATAGGTGTTATAGCAGTTATGAATTATGATAGTAACATATAACATATTAAATTAACTTTAATATTATAATAATAATAGTCACTCGTTAATTTATTGTAAATAATTAATATTCATTTTCATATGAATCTAATCTATACTAATATTATAAAGCTGAAAAGTTTGTTTGTTTGTTTGTTTGAACATGATAATCTCAGAAACTACAGGTTCGAATTGAAAAATGATTTTTTTGTTGGATAGTCCATTCATCGAGGAAGGCTATAGGCTATATAATATCACGCTACGACCAATTAATAGTAGTGTTCAAACAGGAATTTTGAGATTTAAGATTGAAATATTTGCTTATAAATGTTTGCTATTGGTTAAAGGAGAAATAATTAATAGAAATAGTATTTATTTATTATTGGTTAATCGATAAAATCAGGTACCAGCATGCATCAAGTCGAATTTTCGCACATTGCCTACCAGGGTGGCTAAGTTGCACTTACTGCAGTGAGTTACACCAAAAAAGAGTTGAACAATCACAATTTTTTTGTCATTTTTTACGGGCCACCAAGTGCGCAGGATCAGCTATATTATATATAAATTAATGTTTGTGGGCAGATCTCTTTGAAGAAGATAGGCTAATTTAAAAAGGGTTGAATTTGTATTTTTTATTCATCGGATTTTAGTACGGTTAGGTTAGGTTAGAATTATGTATTACTAATGTATTTTATCAAAATAAAATTGTTATAACTTATTGATACTTTAGAGTTAAATACTTAAATCATACACTTATGATTCTACGATCTACCGAAGGTAGATTGCCTACCTGATAATATACTGCTGCGAATCAGAATTTTTATTCCAGGCAACAGAAAAGTTAAGATAAATTTTGAACACCATACACCGAATATTAAATAACGAGTTTAACAAAGTTTGAGTCACATAAAGTTGGTATATTAAACGGGCAACGAAGTGCACAAGATCAGCTAGTTCATAATAATTGTATACAAAATATGTAGAGTAATAAAAAAAATTATGTATATTAATTATTATCATACAGTTTGAAGATTACGATTTAAGGTAATATTAAACATAATTATTTAATTGCATCTCCTCTTCTTATTTGAGGTCGACTATTACAACATTATGTTTTTAACAACTTTGGCTTAAACAGTATAGGTACAGTTTTTCTCTTAAAAACGTACTTAATGAGTTAATATTGATTATTATGTGTAAATTTTTTTACAATACCTATAATCGTACAAAGTTCAATGTTATTCTATATTAGTTCATGATTTGTTGAAACATTAACTACTCCCAATAATTCTATTTTTAATACAGAAAAAAACTTTAAATTTTGTAGTTCCGAGTAATGAAATAGTATTATTATTGTTATTTTAGACACAAATTTGTTGATAAATGATAATTTATATTATATAAATTTAAATAAAAATCGGTTGTTAAGCTAAAATAAACTCTTTTATTAAATAAAAACAAACTATGAGAAAAAGCTCTCTTACGCCTCTGCGATTTGCATTCAACACACAAATTAAAGACCAAAAGCTGATCTGAATATATTATTTTTATGGAGCCCAGAAACGTACGCTTCAAGGAGATATTATTAAATATATTTTTCAAAGTACCTATAAGTAAATACTATATTGAAAATACTTAAAATAAATATATCTTTAGTTAGTTTGAAAAGTGGTTGGACAATATTTAAGTTTTTAATTTTAATTTAATTATTTTTTTAATTTTACTGGAATGTGTTACTTATTATTTTATGAGGCTTGAAAAATAAAAATATATCTATAGGTGTAATATTATAATATACCTATTGGTTTTACAATGGTTTGTTTGATAGTTAGGTGTATTTATCTATTACACTAGGTATCTAGGTAAACTTTTCATCGTTTCATATTTGATACACCTAAAATTTATTATTTTTTGACCAGAACCATTTTTAAAGTTTGTAGGTATTTTATAATAATTGATACGAAATCGGTCTTATGTGAGGTGGATATAACGAATAGTCTTCCATGTGATAGTGACGTTCGTACACTGTTGGTATATGTTTTGTTTATTCAGATTATCATAATTGCTTATTAAAAATTGACATTTTTAAGTTACTCAAGTGTAGAACATCTTATATCACCATCGTATCTTCGTAAGCTATCAGTACCTAGGTAGCTAGGATTGTTTGTATTACGATTTTATAACAATAGTTCTATTAAAAGTGCAATCCTACAAGCCAGTATTAAAAAAATATCAAAATATATGTACTCCCATATATGTATATATTCATAGAAGTCAATATTAAAAAAAAAGTTACCAACATATTATTAAGGTTACAAATAATTATTTGTTAATTGTATTAAACGGAACTATATAGTTTATTGCGTTACATTTAAACCTTACTTAGAAACCAGGAATTTAGCAAGCTCGCAGATTGAGCTTTCCTAACTTGTTTTTATTATAAGTATGTACTTGCCCAAGTCATAACTGAACAATTTTTTATAAAAAAATAATAATTATGCCTACCACAAAATCGTTTGTAAATGTTAATGTTATATTGTATTAAATATATTAAGCCTATGCGGATCTACGCTTTGTTGAATTCGGATGAAAGTTATGAAACTTTTGTGAATTTTTTTTATTGCGCCCCCCTCAAAAAAAAAAAATGTTAACAAACTAAAACATCACCACGTAATCTTTGAGGTGGAAGCAATTTAAAAAATGTTCACTTGAAGACCCATTATCAAGCTACGGCATTATTGTTGCTGCGTACCTGTTCACGAGTCGTAAATAGGTACCTCCGACGGCGACGGAGAAAGCTGCGGAAAAGTGTTTTGCGTATCCGTATAAATTAGAGTCCCTTTCGCCGTGGAAATGCCACACCATTATCGTATTCAATCAAAGAGATATCATTTTAGTACCTGACACATATAATATTATTACTATTGTGCGGCGTCGTTATTGTGTCGAAGAACGGACGATTTTCAAGAATAAACTGACGACAATAACAATAGACGGTCCATATACTTCATGTAAGCTATTCGCATATTGTATTATTTACCTACTTATCATTATTATTATTATTATAGTGGTCCACGTGATGTCACGTACAGTACTGAACAGCGCGTCCTCTGCGATATTGTTGTGTATAGTGTACACTTTATAGTCTTTTCATACTAGGCATATTATATTATGGACGTGTCAGTTGTACTCTTTTGTATATTTATATACTCGTATTAAAATGTGGCGATTCACTGAGCATCATGCACACCCTTATTGTGGGGTAAAACGGTAATTTTGTGGACTGCATGATGGGTACCTATGGGTAACTTCTCAAAAATCATAGTCGTGGGTGGTTTGTTTTTTATGCCGGGTGACGGCCTACTATTCCCAAAGTAATAACAAATATATAAGGACACAAACGTGCAGGCCGGCGTAGGGCTCTTAAAAACTAATTTTACAATAATTTAAAATTACAATAATAATAAAATAAAATAAATAAAAAAATAATTTTTAAAAACATGCTTTTCTTAATACTACTTAATAAATGAACGAAAAAGTTGAAAATAAACTTACTTTTAAAACAATTTCTTAATGAAACTTCAAGGTTAACAAGATATTACTAAAAGTGTTTATAAAATGTATTTGTTGAACAATTTTTAAAAATTCTGAATTACAAAAAAAAGAAATGCATGGGGCACTTATGATAACTCCTACGTAAGGGCACTCTACAACTGAATCTTTAGATAAACTTTATGATAAATATTTTAAAGATTATTGATCACACTTCCAATTTTGTAAGAGATATTCCTGACTCATAAGAGCCACGGTTTTAATTGACAGGTCATTATGTATAGTGTAATTCGAAACAAGGGTTGTAGCATTAGTAATTTTCCTAAGAGCAATATTCTGAAATTGTTGAATTTTGTTGTTATTGGACACTTTTATGAAAATAGATAACTTATATACTTATGATAAGTCATACGTAAAGTCACTCTACGACTGAATTTTTATATAAACTTTATGATAAATATTTTAAAGATTATTGTTCACACTCACAATTTTGTAAGAGATATTCCTGACCCATAAGAGCCCCATGCATTTCTTTTTTTTGTAATTCAGAATTTTTAAAAATTGTTCAACAAATACATTTTATAAACACTTTTAGTAATATCTTGTTAACCTTGAAGTTTCATTAAGAAATTGTTTTAAAAGTAAGTTTATTTTCAACTTTTTCGTTCATTTATTAAGTAGTATTAAGAAAAGCATGTTTTTAAAAATTATTTTTTTATTTATTTTATTTTCTATTTTTTAGTGAAAACTATAAATTAGAAACAAACGATTTTTTGAAAGCATAATATTTATTATTTTCGGTACATTTGAATATTATAAGCAACTATGTAATATTATATTTTAATTATCTCAATTCCCGCATTCTTTCCATTTCTTCAAGGGCGTCAATATTACATGGTGTTCTTCCCATCAGCTTTGAACAGTCTAATTGCAGACCCTCTAAGATTTTTAAGGTATAAATGTACATCGTCAATCATTCCATTTTGTCCTTGAATTTTTTTTCCACAAGCTGCTATTGCTGATTTTACCTTGTGGTTCTCAAACATTGATAAAGCATAAAAAAGGTAATCATTGCGCTGAAACCGTAAGTCGTTGCCTAAGATTCTACTTTGGAAATAATCTAGCGGAGTGATAGTCACTTCTCGGGTCTCTTTGAGTCCATTTTTGCCGCAAGGAAACAAATAAAACCAACTCGCGTTGTTGTAGAAGGCGTTTATTTTTCATTGATGGCGTTTCTTCAGCTCTTAATTTTTTTTTTGCTTGGCGATTTTTATCTAATCTTGCCCGTTTAGCTTCTGAGCCCTCGTTGGCCTTCTTTTCTTGATAATTTATACGAGCTCGTTCAAGGCGCCTTTTTCGTTGAGTTGCGGGCTCTTTATACATTATTATTTGTTTAGTATCTTATTATCTATACGCTTTGTCAATCTCTATGTAGGATTTTCTTACTGTTTTAACAATGAAACGCGTTAAAAGTTAAAAGTAATTATTATTATAATAGTTTTATAACCCATGGAAACCGTTTATAAATAAAATTTCGTACCTGTATATTATTTATTCTTCTTCCTCGGAGATGACTTTGCACACCCGTCATCGCCGACCTGGAAGTCCGGGTCCCAAAATAACAACGGATTATTGTATTGCCTTCCAAGACCTATGTCTATACCAATTTTCAGAATTTTTCATCGTAAATAAGTGCCTCAAATCGAGCGCGCAAGATTTGAAGACAACAGGAATGAAACATTGTGAGTTAAAGAAAAGGATGTAATAATAATAATAATAGAATACAATTCAATAAAAACTGTAACGGGTACGACGGCGATGCCGGTGAAATTCCTGGGTGATGGTGAATTGACGGTGAGGTGCCTGGTTGATGAAGTGATGGTGAGGTAATAAGGTATGGTTGCCGGTGGTTAAAAACGAATGCCTTCACTCAGGGACGGATTGGGCCATAGGGAAATCGGGAATTTCCCGATGGGCCGCGTACTAAACAGTAAATATAATCTAATAATTAATAAATATTACCATTGATTATAGATTATTCATTCAATGATATTACAGTCTATAATATTACAACGTAAAACGTTGTAAATTGTAATAATACAAGTACCTATACAACGTCTACGACAGAAACTGAATAATAATATTAATTGATAATTATCAATAACAATAGGTAACCGTAATCAAAAAATCAACTTCCGTAGACAGTAAAATCTATAAATAATTGGTTATTCGGGTTGTCGTCGATCAGATGGGCAGGCGGGTTGAGTTTAATGAGTAATTACGACAAATTTTGACGATACAAGTCGATGCGGGTCGTTACTCGTTAGTATGAATACCTAATAAGAATATTTTATTAAAGAAATAAGAATAAAATATTTTGTATTACAATAGTAATAGTGGCGAATTATAAAATAAAATGGAAATGGATGGATCAAACTGAAGTAAAAAACGAAAATGAGGAGCTGAAAAAATCAAAGACAAAAATAAAAAAAAATACTATTTTTAGAAATATATTAATAATTAAAAATATTAAACTGTTACTGTTAAAGTACAATAATCTACAATTTATTTTATTGATAGAGAATGAGAGAAACAATATATTTTTCAAAATACTTAAATAGGTACCTATTTTTTTTTTTTTTAATATGAATATATACGTTAAATTATTTTAGTGTAATATTCAACTGATATTTAAAATACTAAAAAAAATTACTATCTTCATCTTCAGTATGGTGTACACTTGCCAGTTGCCCCCAATCTCCCAACAAATAGGGGGCCGGTAAAAAAGCATTTTCCCGGGCTGGTCTGAAATTCCAATCCGTCCCTGCCTTCACTTTGCCCGTGCAGTAGGTACAAAAAAACGGCAAGACGGTTTCGAGGGAACGCACACACACCGGTTCGGAACACAAACTTGTCGTGCACGAGCATTGACGGCTAACCGGTAACAGCTGATCGCAGCGGTGTATAGTAAGGTAGTAGGTCGGGTGGCAGTTTTTCTTATCACAGTTTTGTTATTTTTCAACAGGCTATAAAATATTATAACTTATAATAGTACCTAATAAAATATATTGTTGTTCTATTTAAAAAGACTATAATTTCCGGGGGCTGGGGAGGCTGCAGTCCACTGTGCCGACCCCCTATATACGCCACTGGTGACATTCGATTTGCTGACATTTTTTTTTTTTTTTATACGAATACGTATAATATAACGATCGTTCATCGATGATATTAAAACCTTTTTTGTAAGTTATTTCATTTGGGTGAACGGTTATTTTCAAAAACCATGTACGTGTATAACATAACAAAGCTTTCATTGGTACAATATGGTATTTATTTCAATATTTTATCAAATATACGAAATTCCTCTCGGCTCGTAAACCGTATTCACTGTGATAGTATTTTATTTTCAGGTCCTTTATATTCCATGTGTTATGCGTCTGCTCACCTACCCTCGGTTTTATGTAGAACCTTTCGGACCAAAATATAAATATTGGGGTCCCACACAAAGCGCTATATATATGTATGTACATGAGCAAATACGCAAGGACATTGCATTGTATAATAATTAGATGTCAATACAGTGTTTCCAAGTACTCCTCCTCTCATACATGCGAAACTTGAATAAACCCAAAAAGGTATGCATATTGTGATATCAACGATGAAATACTGGCAGTATTGATCATACACAGGTGATGGCGTGTATTTGCACATAATGGCTTACGTTTGATTTACTTGTTGTTTGTTCGTATATATATTTTTTTTTATATACACAAAAGCCTTCATATCATTTTTATTTTATTTTTTGTAAGTCAACAAAAAAATAAAATTAAAACTATATGGGTTCATACTTTATTTGTGTTTTGTAAGATATTCTGTGAAAAATAATATTTATGTATTATTCAATGAAGGAAAAATAACTGGCGTTTGCAGACCTTGTTGTGCAGATAAATCTACATCCTCGTCATAACAAGCCATCCATTTCAAAACATAATGCAGAGAAAAAAAAATATATATCAAGTCCGTATGTATAGTGAGACCAATTACATACTATTTTTTATATATTTTTCTTCAAAATATTGATCGTATTGTACAGTTTGAAAATCAATATTCTATATATGAACTGTTAATCTAAAATCTAAAACTGCACGTGTCTATACTATATTAAAACCAAACGTAATTAATGCATAATATCTACGTAAGTATATATTTTGTTTTATGTAATCATAAGGTGAAGACCATAAGCTTATTAGCTTATTTATTTTCGAAAACCATCGAATTGAGAATTTGAGAAAATAATTATTCGTTGCAGATAGTATGTCTTCATTTATTCATTAAAAAAAGTAATATTTCTAAGCGCCTCACAGAACCAAATATAATGTGTAGGTATACTATTTTATAATAATATATTAGATTTTATTTATTTGAATAGCGCACAATTAACTTTAATACAAATATCATAAAAATACCTTTATGTGTTTTATAAAAAAAAAATAAAAAATAAAACGTAATATTGATACGCACGTTTGACAAAGGATAAATAAAATAATACAAAAAAAAGGAATTATACGCAAAAGTCTTATATTGTGGCTGTCCTTGTTGACCCTCCAAAGTCATTTTATTGTGTGGAAAAAAAACATCGACGTATCGTATATTGTTATTTGTCCAGTAAGTTGTTATACATACAACAATATTGATTTACATCTGTACGTTTTTACTTTAACAAACTTACTCAAAACGATGTCAAATACACGACAAAAGTATAGTGCAATATTAATTGATATTTTGCTATTTTTTTCCTACGATTATTGCTAATGGTTTTTTTATTGGACAGAGGGAAATAATTTTCCACTTGTAATAAACTGTTTTACGCCATATTATTATTCTAAATTCAATGATAATATATTATTAAACATTTATACATATTTTTAACACTTTAATATTAAATCAGTGCAATTGATCTTAAACAAACAAACTCATTATTTACTAGAAAAGGTGGGCATTAACTAGTAAAAAAGTTAAAGTTAAGTTAAAAAGTTAATTTTTTTTTAAACTTTTTTACTTAACAAGTTTATTTTCTAATCAACTTATGAACTTAACTAGTTTAATTTACAGTTGAAATAACTTAGCTTTCCTCAGTTGATTTAAAAAAAATCTATCAAGTTAAAAACATTTTGAAATTTTTGGTTTGTACGTAAATATTACTATGTCAGTATAAAATAAAAATAATCCAATACAAAAACACAAAAATTTCTGTTCTTTTTCTTGATAAAATAATTTTGTGTATATTAATATATTTTATTAAGTTGTAAATTATATATTACTCGAGTTTCAATTATAAATGTTTTTAATAAAATTATTAACTTTAAATTACAAATTGACAATTGTTATGTTTTGATGTTATAATATAGCATATAATATATACGAAGGTCATGTACTCATCTTCACGTATTATGACATTCAATTGCTATACGATATAAAAAAATATATAGGTATTTGTTACATTATTAATTTGAGATGAGTATTGTTTAAATTAGTAAATAATAGTAAAGTAAAAGTAAAATGATATACAGTGTACATCATGATAAATGTTCAATGAAATTGTTATTTATAATGTATAAATTAGAAACCAGAAAGACACATTCACTCTTTTCATGATTTACATACTAATTAAAAAAAAAATAGATTAACTTTTTTTTTAACTGAGTTAAGTTAATATTTTTCCCATATTAACTTTTAACTTATCGAGTTAAATTTATAATTTGTTAACTTTTAACTTATCGATCTTGTGTCCTCTTAACTTAACTTAACTTAACTTGAGTTAATTATTTTCATTAACTTGCCCACCTTTGTTTACTAGGTACCTATTTATTTTTGGTTCTAAATAGGGAATAACTATTGGATCGACGGCGATGTTAGAGGGTGGGATAACGATGGACTTTAGTCGACAATAATAATAATTATAGGTTAATATTCAGTCTAGGATAGTGGGACTATATTTTAAAAATTTCCATAGGTGTTCTACTCATGTTTATACTAATATATTTAATTATATATTGTGTATAGACTATTAATAACTTTGTAAGATCCGTAGAGGTTATGAATAATGAATACAAAAATTAAAGCTGCTTTTTTAAATCGATTTCATTGAACTGCTAGACTGTAATGATTATAAAATACCAACTGATTTACTAAATATGATTGAAAATAGTGATCAAAATAATGAATTACTTAGCAAATAGCAATATTTGATGCACGGTTGTCTATCTGTGTTAATTTAGTATTATTATATTAAATATTAATGGTACAATTATTATTGACATTTACGTAACTTCATATTTTTCCAATGGATACCTACCAATGTATATTTTACAAGGATTGGCTAT